TCTTCCATATATACCAATCCACGTAACACTATTTATACCTGGCCATAGAAATCCAAACGCAACAGTAAAAAGCAAGAAGCAGAAAGAAAGCAAAGCAAATTACTTTCCTCTCACAAATCTTGTTAGAGAAAATCAAAGTACTAAGAGAAGGAGAATTTCTGAATTTCAGATGGGGCGTTGGGTTAGGCCTGAGGTGAGCAAGCTTTGGCTTTTATTAATTTGGTTACTCTTTTCAATAGCAGTTAGGCTAGTTGATTGCAACAACATATGTCCCACCTTTGATCTTGAGTTCAGATCTCTTCCTCGCAAATAGTCGAGAATAAAGTTTTCAAATTAATTTGGTTACTTTTTATTCGAATCTCTTCGTTTTTGTCTGTTGATGGGAAGAAAACGATAGCACGAAAATACTTTCTGAAGGTCCTTTAGTTTTCTCAACAAAACAATCCAATTAAGCAAATTTAATCCCAATTTTTATTTGACATATCTTTAGGTGTACCCGTTAATGGCTGCAATGACATTTGTGACAAGCTTGTGCGCATTTCAGCTTACAAGGAACATGTTCCTCAACCCTGAAGTCAGGTACAAATTAATATACATATACATATACATATATATATATATATAATTTAAAGGTCTAAGTTTATAAACGTGTTAATTAGTTATTTTATTTGCAGAATCAACAAAGCTCACCGTCGAATGGCGGTGCTTGAAAACGAAGAAGAGGGAGAGAAGTACGCCGAGCACGGCCTCCGGAAGTTCCTCCGCACACGGCCACCGGAGATCATGCCTACCATCAACCACTTCTTCTCTCAAGAAAAATGATATCGGACATGTTCGTGAAAGTTTACTTGTGAGCGCAGGGGGGGTTTATTTTTTAAGAGTTTTATAGCAACTTCTTCATGTCAGTTTATACTATTTTGCTTTGGGCCAGTTTTTTTATCATGTTTTGTGAAATTCCACAGCAGTCATTCATGTTTCCCCATTTTGTATAAACAATAATTTAATGATGAGGCTGTCATTCATCGTATTAAAACAATCAATCGTTATTTTTTGTTTTTGGATGCTATTTTACACCTTTTAAGTTTGGTGTGATTTTCTAAATAGGCCATGAAATTTTAATTTTCTCATACGTCACAGGTGTTGAAATTGTTTTAATATGTGTTTCGGTTTGATTAATTGTATGCTTATTCATTGAATTGATTATCTGGTGAGTTTGAGACCTTTGTATATTCTAACATGTAAGACACATTTGCACCATATTAACAAAAAAATTAATTTAATGGATGATTAGATGTCCAAAGAGACAAAAATATAAATGGATAAAAAAATAAAACTTCATGATGCAAAAATAAAATAAAATAAAAAAAATAAAACCTCATGACCCATTTTCAAATTGTCTCAAATCCGAAGAGTGTAAAATGTAGTTAGGCCAATTACGGAGAAACCATTTTAACACGCAGGCAATGAACTTCAAACATTTCCAAACAGGAGAATCGTTGGCAAAAAAGAAAATGAAAAATATTATGACAAATGATATTGGGAAATACATGCCAAACTGTTTGGGCTTGTTGGATCATAGAAAAAAAAACAATTTGTTGTTTAGGATCGGCCCATGTGAGACCATGAATATATATATTTTAAGATTAAAACTTTGAATTTTTTTATTTTTGATGCAACAATATAACTTACACTAAAAATTAGGTGAACAGATTGTTATGTCATTTACGATCAAACTTAAGAATTCTCACTTAATAATAAAAAGAAATACCACTATACATAATATATTAAGTAGCATTAAAATGAGATTGAGAATGAGAAATTACTTCCTTTTTTTTATATTTGAAAATCAAACTTGTGAACAATTGTAATTAATGTCGGAAAATGAGATGGGAAAACAAAACCTATGAGGAATGGAGAGTTTGTGTAATATCCCACATCGTCCAGGGGAGTGGATCATCTATGCCTCATATGTATATTCTCATGTCTACCTAACACGAGGTCTTTTGGGAGCTCACTAGCTTCGGGTTCCGTAAAAACTCCAAAGTTAAGCGAGTTCGTGCGAGAGCAATCCCAGGATGAGTGACCTACTGGGAAGTTCCTATGTGAGTTTCCAGAAACAAAACCTTGAGGGCGTGGTGGGGGCTCAAAGCGGACAATATCGTGTTACAGTGGAGTCGAGCCCGGGATGTGGTGGGGGCCTAGGTCGGGATGTAACAATTTGGTATCAGAGCCAATCTCTAGCCGAAAGTGTGCCGACGAGGATGTCGAGCCCCTAAGGAGGGTGAATTGTAACATCCCACATCGCCTAGGGGAGTGGATCCTCTATGCCTTATATGTATATTCTCATCTCTACCTAATACGAGGCCTTTTGGAAAGGAAGCTCACTAGCTTCGGTTTCCGTAGGAACTCTGAAGTTAAGCGAGTTCGCGTGACAGCAATCCCAGGATTGGTGACTCACTGGGAAGTTCTCATGTGAGTTCCCAGAAACAAAACCTTGAGGGCGTGGTGGGGGCCCAAAGTGGACACTATCGTGTTACAATAGAGTCGAGCTCGGGATGTGGTGGGGGCCCGGGCCGAGATGTGACAATTTGGTATCAGAGCCAATCTCTAGCAGAAAGTGTGTCGACGAGGATGTCGATCCCCTAAGAAGGGTGAATTGTAACATCCCACATCGCCTAGGGGAGTGGATCCTTTATGCCTTATATGTATATTCTCATCTCTACCTAATACGAGGCCTTTTGGAAAGGGAGCTCACTAGCTTCGGGTTCCGTAGGAACTCTGAAGTTAAGCGAGTTCGCGTGAGAGCAATCCCAGGATGGGTGACTCACTGGGAAGTTCTCGTGTGAGTTCCCAGAGACAAAACCGTGAGGGTGTGGTGGGGGCCCAAAACGGACAATATCGTGTTGTGGTGGAGTTGAGCCTGGGATGTGGTGGGGGCCTGGGCCGGGATGTGACAGTTTGCATTTCCCCGTCTTCTCCCGTAATTTATTGTGCACTTTTAACATTAATTATACTATTTTAGGACAATATTTATCCTTATTAAATATTGAAAACTCAATTGTGTCCATAAGAACTCTTCATACTCAACTTTTCTGTTTCAATTTTATCCCTAATAAGAAATAAAAATACAAATTTATCTATAAATCTAATATTTACATTCTTATTTCTCTTGAATTTCTTTCCACATATCAAAAGCACAATGTTGGTGACAAAAAGGGATAGGAGAGTCTTAACGGGAGCTGATTTTCACACATCGTTTTTAATCTCTCATACACTTCATTTTTAATTTCTAACCATTAGATTAAAAGGAAAACTAATGAAAAGGATTTGAAAACTTTGAGTTTTAATGATAAGGACAAAATAAAGGGTAAAGTGAATAGTACCAGGATTGACTTTTTAGTGTAAAAATGTGGTTTTTCGTTAAAGTGAACAGTACCGGGTGCTTTTCGTTAAAGTTCCCTAGATTAAATAAATCAAATTGACACAACGAATATAATTTTGTGTCACTCCACCTGAAACAAATTGAAACAATGACCATGAAACAACACGTGAATTAAATGTCGCTCCACAAATTCTTTCCACATACATGTTTAATCTTTTGGTTCTTCGGGGCATAGATGAAATTAGATTGGATATCTCTGTATTCAAGCCTCAAGAAAGGAATGAAAAACTTTTGTCCATTTTGAAGATTAAAAAAAAAAAAAAGAATTATTCATTAGGGAAATTTGTCCCTTCCAACTATTTGAAATGATAAGATTAGACGGGATAAATTTTATTCACATGTAATAAACTCAAAATGAAAAATTATTTACTCCTTAACGCTTAATTTTTTGTGAAAAATCATTGTGTGATAGAGATTGACCTAACTTAAATTTTTTTTTGTTGAAAACGTTATGAGCTATTGCTCCTTTAACGTTAACTTTATGTGTTAACAAGTCAATCAATTAGTTAATTGGTGGGTACCAATCATAATTGAGTGCTTGAACTTTACATGCAAGTGTGGGCAGCTACTCTCCCTTAGACCAATGTAGATCCTCCCCTTCCCTAAAAGTACTAATTTCGTTGAAATTTTGATAAAGATAAAGTCATTATTCTTAAACTATAACAATCATTAAACTAAAACGCAAAAATTGCATAAATCAAAACTACATGGACAAAGTGAAAATCATAAATTGACCCCTTAAATACATTAGTCAAAAGACTCTCTAACTTTGTTAGATCGAAGTTATAAGATTTAAGATCGATAGAAGTGATCCTTAATTTTGTCTACCTTCAATTATTTTGGTCGTTTCGTGAAAGTTTTTGTTAAATAAGGACCAAAATGACAAAAACACTCTCAATTTAATAAACAATAGGCCAAAATAATTTGACAAAAATTAAAGGTATTTTTGCTATTTTATCCTCTATTTAATGGAAATTTTTCACGAAATGACCAAAATAATTGATGGTAGACAAATTCATGAATCACTTTTATCGATTTCAATTCTTAAGGATCAAAAGGAGGAGTTATCCCAATCTCAGAGACCATTTTGGCTAAAAAAGCTTATTCTAAAATGGGAGAGATTTTTTAATACACTAGGAACAAGGGGTGGTATGCAACATATTATTATACAATTGGAGGAAAGTTTTTTTTTCAAGTGTTCCTCTAAGGGTATAGTGACATATACATAGTGTCTGTTCCGTATCTCGGGCACACTGAAATGGATTTGTATATTATATATAAGTTGAACATATATGGGAATATGGTCAATGCGGATGGATATACCGTCATGGATTTTTTTCTTTTCCTTATCCTAATTGTTCATAATAGCATTCAAGTAAATAATTATATTTCTTGTTTCTTTCTCATCAGTGCTTAGCCACCAGTCAATCTTTTTCACTTGGCAGTGAAGGTCCAAGGTTAATGAAAGTTCCGTTACGGTGCGAGTGATTTAACCTTTTCCTCTACGTCTCCATCCATGTTGTGAATGATGTGATTGGTTTTGTTTGGGTTTAGCATTTATATCCGTAACCATAAGAACTCCTCGTCAGTTTAATTTGCGTCCAAAAGTCTGCGGACTTAGTTTTCTCAGCCAAAACTGAGAAACCCAAGTTTGGTCGTCAAAACCCAACAACAACAATTTCCCTTCATCTTTTTTGGGTTGCAACATGAAGACTCGGCAGAACTTCGTTTTGTTACTCACGGTTGTCGCAGCGGTTTTTAGCGTCGCCAAAGCTTGCTCCAACGGACAGTGCAAGGTTCGTGCCTCTTTTTTCATGTGTGTGTATCTAAATTATGATTTTTTGTGACTGGGAAAAGGAAGAGTGATATTTATTTTGCTTTCAAATGTGTAGCTTTTGGACGAATGCTCGATGGATGCCGATTGTGAAGCCGGGCTTTACTGCGGATGTTGCCCACAAGGCTTCTCAGGCTCTAGATGTATAAGATCAGCCATTACAGATCAATTCAAGCTATTGGTACGTGACCTACCTACCCCTCTCCCTCTAGAAATTTTGAAAGCTTAACGTTTCTTGTAACACATTCAAGATTTTGATTCGTCCATTTTTTAAAGATTTAGAAATTTTAGAAATAAAACCACTCGAGACCGCTTGAGCAGTTCTTGAGGCCTCTTGAGCAATGAGTATAATCGACGCCCTCGAGTAGTTAAAATTCTAAAAATGGAGAAAATTTTGAGATAAAAAGCTTGAACATCAATATTTCGCCTCTCTCTCTTACACATACATAGAGACACGGACATGCGCATATGTTGTGAAGTTTCCAACTTTACATGAACTGACCATGGAGAGGGAAAAGGGCAGATTATTGGGGGGAGAGGGGTCCACAATGACATATTGACTCCGTGGAATCTAAGCATGACTTTTGGTTTGCCGGCTCCTTCGGCTGTCACAACCAATGAACAGAAGTTTAGAGTTTTCTATGCCCTTGGTTGGGCTTAAGGAGAGTGGTTTGTGTAGGCCCATTGAGGCCCAATACTGGCAGAGGACTTTGCTTAATCATCTATGTCAATTTAGGGTAAAAGATTAGTTGTGTTTTTTTTTTTATTATCACAGAACAATTCTCTACCTTTCAACAAGTATGCGTTTTTGACAACCCACAATGCCTTTGCAATTGAGGGAGAGCCATCTCACACTGGAATTCCTCGCGTTACCTTCAACAATCAAGAAGATACTGTTACTCAACAACTAAATGTATGGCATCCTTCAATCATATACACGCATGCCCCTTGCCTCTTCAATTTTGTTCGAAAGTTGTTATTAGCACTCAGGAACAGATCATCATGCACTCATGAAAGTGCAATTTCTCCATGATGGTGTTACGGAAGACGAGTGCATAATGACTTTTTAGAGTGCTAATATGTAGGGTTTAGTCATATATCTCGTTTAATCCTTGACATTTTGCAGAATGGAGTTCGAGCCTTGATGCTCGATACATATGATTTTAAGGACGATGTGTGGTTGTGCCATTCTTTTAATGGGCAATGCCACGACTTTACTGCATTTGTAAGCAATACCATCTGCCCAACTTCGTTTTCTTCTTGTTTATATATTCTTTGAGACTAAGAAATTTGCACACAAAGTGTATTTTGCCTCAACATTACTTCCCAAATATACAGGAACCAGCTATAGATACACTGAAGGAAGTTGAAGCATTTTTATCAGCCAACCCATCAGAAATTGTGACATTGATATTGGAGGACTATGTGGAAGCTCCAAATGGATTGACAAACGTCTTCAACGCTTCCGGGTTGAAGAACTATTGGTTTCCGGTGACAAGCATGCCCAAAAATGGCCAGGACTGGCCACTAGTTAGTGACATGGTTGCCAATAACCAGAGGCTACTTGTGTTTACTTCAAAAAGTGAGAAGGAACAATCCGAAGGAATCGCCTACCAGTGGAACTACATGGTTGAAAACCAATGTAAGAAGCAACAACCCAGCTATATTTCTTTTTTTAATATTATCATATGATTTGCCGTAGAGGTCGCACTTGGTGCGATGGCAAGTGTCTTCGCCCATGAGCGGTAGGTCTCGGGTTCGAGACTTGGGAGCAGCCTCTCCATAAAATGGGGGTAAGGCTAGCCGACATTCACCTCTCCCAGACCCTGCGTAAAACGGGAGCCTTGTGCACTGGGTATGACCTTTATCATATGATTTGCCGTCTATTACTAAATTGCCTGGAGCTGGATCCATCGACAATCATATGGCATTACCTACTAGTGGTAACGTTATCTGCATTATTGATAAACTATCGATACTTTGAGTACACAATTGTCGATATGAATCCCTCTACCTTTGTAAGGGGCATGTATGAATGAATGTCTTACCTTACAACACCGAACTTTGCAGATGGGGATGATGGAATGAAGGAAGGAAGTTGTTCAAATAGAGGAGAATCATCACCTCTTGATGACAAAACTAAATCTTTGGTTTTGGTGAATTATTTTGCTTCTATTCCCTTTAAGCTAGAAAGTTGCGAAAATAACTCTGGGAATCTGATTAACATGCTTTACACTTGTCATGGTGCTGCTGCCAACCGATGGGCTAACTTTGTTGCTGTTGATTTTTACAAGGCACGCCCTTTCTTCCCCTGCTTAATAACCACTGAAAAGTCAGATTTAATGTATACTAAAAAATAAAAATAATCAAATTTAATTTCTGTAACTTTTGAAATTTTATTTATTTATACGTGCTTGGGTTGTGATGCAGAGGAGTGAAGGGGGAGGATCGTTTCAAGCTTTGGACAATCTCAATGGGGAGCTCTTGTGTGGATGTAACGATGTACATGCATGTGTGGTAAGCTAAGAAATTTTGGTTCGAACACCAAAATAATTTTTGCATTTTTAGCAAAGTATCTTCATAAAAATATATATTGGTTTTTTATAAACAATTTATGTGCTTGATTGCAGCCAGGATCACCTCCAGGGTCTTGCCAGCCATAGGAGACACAATACAAATTCATGTAATGAAGCTTAAATCTTTAAGAGAACTGTGGGAATTTCGATGAATCGGCATACAGTTTGTAATTGATTTATCTTTAGAAAAAAAAATTATTTATATTGAAAATCGTTGTCGTTTCATTCTTAATGGATGAAAGATATGTTGTCACTTAAAAAATGGCAGTTCAACTTGTCAATCTTGTGAGCCTCGATAACTCGATCTTCTCCCACGAACTGTTTGTGCTAATGAATTAGTCCGATAAAAAATGAAATCTATCCACTTATCCAATTTGAGCACCTCTATAGGATAGACTTGATGTTATAAAAACATGGTCATAAATAGTGTATGTCATATAGCTAAGCTTTGGTGCATTGCCCTTAAGGATGCACGATCCAAGTGGATCGGATAAGGTGGCTTCTCCGCATTCTAAAAATGTTTGCAACTCCAGATTAACATTACTTATTTTTTAACGATATGGCAATATACCTGTTCGGACGAAGATTTTATCAAAGAGGGCTCCTCAGCTCTCAGCACAGCTCCCAAAGGATTGGCACTTTGAATATTTAGTTGGGCTCTTACTTGCTAATGTACTACAAGAAGAGGATTGAGTTAGTTTTGAAATGTGCCTTTCTAGGGCCTTAGGTGTAAGCCTTGAGGCTTGCAATCAAAACTAATTGAGTGCTAGGCGTGCCATTGCTATCTTAATATAGCAGATGTAGAACAAGTGTATTTAGTCGATTGCTTGCGCCCCAAGTTACTCAGACTTCTTGTTATCAAGGGATTGTCGTGGACGAGTTAAGTCCACATTAAATTCTTTTTCTTGCCTTGTAACCAAGGACTTTCAATTCATAGGATGTACTATGTAGCCCAACCAATTATAAGTCTATGCAAAGTCCCTTCTCCCATCAATGTGGGATTCATTCTTAACATGCCCGCTCACGGACAACACAACAGGGTGACGTAGAACACATGTGACCGTTTAGCTTCACATGTGAGATAATCTGCTCTGATACCACGAAGAAAGTTGAGATTCCACCATAAAACCAATTGACAATATAGAAAATAGCCAAACCTCTTATAAACTCATGCAAGGTCCCTTCTCCCATCAATGTGAGATATATTCTCAACATGGAACCCTATATATTAATAAAATAAATATTTGACACGTCTATTAAAAATGCAAAAGATTTTAACATATATATTGTCACTTAGTATTACGGTCTAGTGGTATCTCTTTTCACTTGTCAGTGAGAGGTATTAGGTTTGATTTTTGCCAAAGACGAATTTTAACCACATTATTACAAATCCATTGTGAGGCTAAGCCCACTCCCCATCCCTTTAGTATAGATAATATTATTTGTTAAAATAAAAATATGTATATTCAATCTGCCAAATCAGCAATCAAATAAAATTTTAAAATATTATATTTGACAACTCCTGTGGAGATGCTTTAAAAGGCTAATGGCTGGTAGATTCGGTCAAATTCATGACTCGTAAGTGTGACCAATGGATGCATAATCTGATGAATGTGACCAAGGGATCCGAAGTTAAAAAAATCATAACCTGATGAATCCAGAGTCAAACAATGGATGCATTCCCAGTAGTTTAATTAGAATCGAGTAGCTAATATTATGTACCAAATTAATTCTCAAGGATCTCTCAATTGGTGTGGAGCATGTGAGTTGGTAGGTTAGGAGGCATCAAACACATGCCAGCAATATTGAGCAAAGGAATAAAAATATTTATGTCATTAGGTTCAATTATACAATAGGAATAATAGAGGACATCATATCTACTTGTGATTACCTACTTTGATATTACATCCACCAGCAACATGCTTCGATGTTGCTTTTGTGCCAGAATAATGGGCTTCATGTCATTGGTGTATCATCACATGAATGAAACAATAGAAAAATATTTTTTTCTTTTTAAATTCACATTTTAATGGGCATGTTGTGATTAGTTTAATACTATACTAAATTACTAATCGTATTTTATATCATTTTGACTATTGTGTTCGGGGAGTACTCTTGTCGTCAACGCACTACTCAATAGCTGCCAAAGTTTTATATATCTATTTTGACGGAAATATCAAAGGAACATTAGCATCTATATATATATATATATATATATATATCGATGAATATTTTGAGAAGCTATTTTGTTAAGGAAAATTAACGAAAAATTCAATAAAAATTTAGTTTTAATGAAAAAAATGACAAATAAAGTTGTAGTGAATAGTAACATGAAAAGGTAAAAATGTGGTTTTTCGTTAAAAGTGAACTGGAGTGTTTTGTTAAAAGTTTAAAACTCCCATTTTGTTATATGAAACAAGATATTTTATAAAACATAAGTAGTTTGTATACCATCATATCTCATCATATACCATATTAATTAGTGAGTATTGGTGATTTTTAATTATGAGTGAATCTTATATGTATGAGTATTTAAGGATGGTGTTATCTGTACACTCTATGTTTTTAGTTGTCAAATTAAATGAATTTAAAATAATCAAAAGACAAAAATTTTAAGGTGTGTAGACGGTAACTGACACACCCCGACCCGAATTAGGGCATGCTAGCCGTCACGTGAGGATGACGTAGCCATGTGCACGGTGCAGAAGCTATAATGATAATAGAAAATACGAATAAATGAAAACTAACTCATAAGAGTACTAATTAAGACAAGTACCAGAATATGTGTGAATACACAATCAGAGCGTAAGTATCCTAAGTTCAGTCCATAAAACAAGTACTAATTAAACGACACCCAAAGATGCCCTACACTTGTGATAGTCTGTCAGAACCTCCAATCAATCATCGTGAGCCACCAACGAACAAGCTTATCTAAAACTTGGAGGGGTGCAAAATAGAAAGTGTGAGTGGGCAAAAACAAAGCTTTTCAAAACCATTTCATTTATCAATTCCGCTAACGCCTCGCTGTAAAACATGTATAATTTTCCCAGAAATGGAATATAAATAAATAAATAAATATATATATATATATATATATATATATATATATATATATGAGCCTCGAGTATTCGATCAATTAATATGGGCCTGGCCTGGAAATTAGCTAACAAAGCTTCCTCTTTATCTTCCAATCCTAACCTCACTCCAGTGGACCTCAAATCTGTAAGAAGAGGAACATGACAAGCATAAATGGCATTAAGCCTAACTGGAGTATTCCTACTAAGTGCATCTGCTACCACATTCGCACGACCAGGGTGATACTCAATCATGCAATCATAATCACTTAGTAATTCTATCCATCTTCGATGATGAAGATTAAGATCCATCTGAGTAAAAAGATACCGAAGACTCTTATAATCTGTGAAGATCTTACATTTCTCACCATAAAGATAATGTCTCCAAATCTTTAAAGCAAAGATGATCGCCGCTAGTTCAAGATCATGAGTAGGATAATTCATCTCATAAGGCTTCAATTGGCGTGACGCGTAAGCAATCACCTTACCATGCTGCATCAACACACATCCCAACCCATTCAAGGAAGCATCATTGTAGACTTCAAAATCACCACTATCATCAGGAAGCGTCAAAACAGGTGCATGAGTGAGACAATACTTTAACCGCTGAAAACTTTGCCCACAATTATCATTATTCAAACTGAACATCCTTCTTGGTTAACCTTGTCAAAGGCAATGCAATGACTGAAAAGTCTTTAACAAACCACCTGTAATAGTCTGCTAAGCCAAGAATACTCTGTACCTCAGTGACGGTTCGTGGTTGTTCCCAATTCTCCACAGCTGCTATCTTTTGAGGATCTACTCGAATACCTTGAGCTAATATAACATGTCCCAAAAATGCAACTTGATCTAACCAGAATTGGCATTTGCTAAACTTAGCATATAACTGATGTTCCCTCAAACTTTTCAACACCAATTTAAGATGTCTAACATGCTCTGCTCTAGACTTAGAGTATACCAAAATATCATCAATAAAGACAATGACAAACCTATCCAAATATGGCAGGAATACTCGATTCATTAAATCCATAAAAGTTGCTAGTGCATTAGTTAACCCGAATGGCATCACAAAAAACTCATAATGACGATATCGAGTCCTGAAAGCTGTTTTAGGGACATCTTCACTTTTAATCTTCAACTTGTAGTAACCAGACCTCAAGTCAATCTTAGAGAACACACAGACACCTCGGAGTTGATCAAACAAATCATCTATACGTGGCAACGGATAACGGTTCTTAATTGTTACCCAATTCAATTGCCTGTAATCAATGCATAGCCTCAAAGTTCCGTCTTTCTTCCTCACAAATAAAACTGGAGCTCCCCAAGGTGAAGTACTAGGTTGAATAAATCCCTTATAACCAATTCTTACAACTGAGTCTTTAATTCCCTCAACTCAGCAAGAGCCATTCGATAAAGAGTTAAAGATATAGGATTCGTACTTGGAAGCAGATCAATAGTGAACTCCACATCTCTGTCTGACGACAATCCAGGTAAATCATCTAGAAATACGTCAGGAAAATGTATGACTACTCGTACATCCTCTACACTACTAGGAGCATCATCATTCAACACCACATGAGTCAAATATCCTTGACAACACTTCGACAACAATCTTTTGGCTTTCATGATAGAAATAACACCATGCCTCACCCCGCTAGGCTCTCTTATAATGTAACTTCGGGTAATCCAGGACGATGGAAAGTAACTGTCTTTCCATAGCAATCTATCTTGGCACGATTGTAGTGTAACCAATCAGTGCCCAAAATCACATCAAAATCAACAATGTCTAACGGAATGAGGTTAGCTGGCATAACAATATCCTCCACCATCACTGGACATCCTGGATATACCCAATCAACATAAAATCTCTCCCCTTTAGGCATAGAAAACTCTAAATCATATCCTAGAGGTGTAGGATGAGGTTGCGTCACTTAAGAAAATGTATAAGAAACAACATAATGCGTAGCACCACAATCAATTAATATTTTAGCAAAATGACCAAGAATGTTCAACGTACCCATAATTAAATCAAGATTGTTCTGAGCATCCTGCAGTGTCATATTGTGGATACGTCCCTGAGCCTGCTGTCGTCTACCACGACCTCTATTAGCATGAATACCTCATCCTTGTCTTGGCTGACCAGATTGCCTC